TCCTTGAGCGTCCTTCGCTAGGGGGTCTGCCCCGCCCTCCGCAATGTTTAGGCCGTGGCAAGTTCACAAGGGTGTCAGTCCCGGCTTTAGAATCCGAGTTGGGAAAGGATGAGCAAGGCGGATGAGCAGCCGCGGAGCTAAACTCGGATACTGACGATTGCGAGTGTGGTGAGCAAAGGAGGTCGGGTGAGGAGTACTGACCACGTCCTGGGCTGTGTACACAAGCGGAAATGGAATGTGAAGGATCTGTGCCTGAGTTGCAGGAGCGGGAAGTCCAGGACTTGATAGCCCCAGGGGCCCATGGCTGCTTCTCTGAAGAGTGTAGTAGGAGCCATTCCACCATGGTGGAAAGATCCATGGGCTGTAGTGGCCAGTGAGTGGGCTTCACTTTGGGGCAGGGATGGTCTGGAAAGGCTTGCGGAGGCAGGGACGTTTCAACAGAGATGGATGTTGAGGTACATTTATTAATTCAGCAGTATCAAGCAAGCACCCTTCCTGGGCACCAAATAGAGCGGATAAAAGGCCTGCTTATATATATGGGGCAAATAAAGTGCTTGTTCAAGGCTTCAGAAGGCAAATCTGGCAGCTGAAGAGGAGAGGTTGGGTGGGTCCTATTGTTGTAGGCGCTGAATTAGATAGAAATATAGGCAGTCTCAGGGCTAGGACCTCAAGGAGATAAAATGGAAGACAAGGTGACCTTGAAACTTGGAAGAGACAGACACTTCTATATGGGCCACACCTCAAGACCAAGACAAGAGGAAACACAGCTACATACTTCCCTAGGGATGGGCATCAGGGATTGATATTCTAAATAGGTGTCAATCACCTTGAAAGAGCCCAAATGAGGGCTGGTGAGATGGCTCAGTGGTCTAAAGCACCTACTTAGAACAAGTTTAGCAGAGCACAAGGACCGCGGTTCAATCCCCCAGCACCACGTGCCAGCCAGCCCCGCCCCCTGGTGTGCTGAGCTGGACACACACACACACACACACACACAAATAAATAAAAATAAAACTTTAAAAAAAAAAGAAGGAAGTGAACTCATGGGTTTGTTTAATAGTTGAACCTTTATAAAAAAAAAAAAGCCCAAATGAGTCACTAGCCCAACCCCCAACAGGAAGAGACCCTGTCCCCTATTTGTGCCGGCTTGCTATGGTGCCTTGCTTCCCCATTTGGTACTGGATTTAATCAATTTTACCTGAGCAATGGTGCTTATAATCTCATTGGTTGGCCATAGTTTTTGTCCCACCTCCTGCCCACCTAAGTGAGTTCCAATATTCTCCACCACCTTAGACCTGCCTCACCCGTGCTTTTCCTCTATAAAAGTCCCTGGAAGAGACAGCTTCCTGGGGACAACCAGCTCAGCGCCCCCCAACTTCTGTCCCTCTTGGACAGGAGCTTTCTTTCCCTCAATAAATATTGTTATAACCTGACCAAAGCGCCGCCATCCTGTTCTGTATGTGCCGTCTTAGTGAACCATGTCAGCTGCTGTAAAATGTAACTTCCTGCTTCCCAAGCCCCCCATCCCACCCTTCAGTTCCAATGTGACTTCTGTTTGCCAAGCCCACTCCAGACCTATAACCATATTTAGTCTCAACAGACGCCATGACTTTTTGAACTTCCCGAGTTGTACCCCCCCAATAACTCCATCTTGGCTCTCTGATTCACCCTTGCCCTAGTTAATTACAATGACTCCATCTTGGTTCTCTGATTCACCCCTGCCCTGGTTCCAAGAATGTCTTAAGGCAAAACTAAGTATTCCCGGCAACCATTCGACCACATTGTCCTTATAAGGTCAGCATGACCGCATACCTAGATTACACACCCTGTTCTGTACTCCACCTAATCCAAAGGGGTAACTCATCTGTGTCCAGCTTCCTCCAGGTGGGCTACAACCAATCCTGTAAAAGTTCATGTGCCCCCTTAACCACATTAACATCTGCTATTGGCTTCTGTGATCCGCTTGCTTGGATGGGCGGTTTTGCGGTTTTGGGGTTTAAATTACTGTGCCTCCCCTTACCCGGGGCTCCTCTCTGTCTCTTGGACTCTGAGGGTGCCGCTGGGTACCAGCTAAAATAAAGCGCTACCTTCTTTTTGGACGTTTTGCCTCATTGTCTCCTTCTTGGGTTACATCAAATATATTCTGTTCATAACCTCCGTTTGTTTCTAAAATTCATTCTTCGGTTATAGAGAACACAAATTCATCCCAGGTACCTTTTAGATTGGGAGATCAGTTTTTCTCCGTGTCATTTGGAGGTTCTCTATATCACTAGTGCCTCTTGCCTGTAATCTCAGCGCTATGGGAGGGTTAGGTAGGAGGATCATGAATTCCAGCCCAGCCAGGACAATTTAGCTATTTAATGAGAACTTGTCTCAAAAAAAAGAGTAGAGGGGGACCATGAGTGGGATGTAGCTCAGCATAAACGCCTGGGTTCAATCCCCAGTACTAAAGAAACAGAAGGCAGGGCTGGGGAGACAGCTCAGTAGAATGAGCGCTTGCCTGGCAAGCACAAGAGCCTGAGTTCCATCACTAGTTCCACAAAAAAAGAAAAGAAACAAAAGGCAGACAGTGTGCAATTTTAAGTGAAGGGCAGAATTGCTCAAAGCCCTACATAGGGATTTCTATTTATTTATTTATCTATTTTATTTATTTAGTGCAGGGTCTCACTACACAGATTGGACTCATAGTGATCCTTCCTTTTTTCAGTCTCCCAAGTGCTGGGATTATGGGTGTGTGCCACCACACCGCCTCTCAATCACTGTTTTA